ATTTTTTGGCTCCCGAGGACAGTGTTATATGGGGGTAGAGGTGTATTGCCTGATTCTTCCTATGCCCCAGTATTTCCAAAACTTGGGACGCCGCTTGTATAGGGAAAGCCCCTGGTGGGCCGGGCCGGTTTGTTTACCTGCCCCGTCCACAGGTTCGGCCGATCGCGGCTCCCACTGGCCGCGGTTCGCTGCTCCAGGCCAATGCGAGAGCTGCTGGAAGCTGCGCAGACCGAGGGACGTACTGGATGCTGGCATTTCCCCCCTTCTTTATAAAAAAAGGGGATATAAATAATCCTGGGAATTACTGGCCAATCGGCCTTTTAAGTTTGGTCTTTAAAATCTAAACCAGTTATTTTCAGGGGAGGTTAGGGGACTGTGCTGAGAGCTTTGATCTTTTCTGTACAAGAACAGCCAGCTTTAGGCATGGCTGTTCAACCACAGATAATTGTTTCATGCTCACACATCTGATTTATAAATTTTGTTGCCTTAAGAGGAGAGTTTGATGTGACTGTTGACTTGAAATCTCCTTTTGATTCTTTGAGAGAAACTAAGGAAGGCTGGGATAGATCTTAGATTACTTTATCTTTTGAGACCCCCTACATGGTCAAATGGTGGCCAGGGTCAGGACAGGGTGGAAGGCACATTAACTGATCTCATTCCCATTACAATTGGCAACGAGGCGGTCTACTGGCCCCCTTTTATTTTTACTTTTTATATCAAGGAGGTTTTGGTGGTGTTAGAGGGGAAGCAATATTTCCCTCCCAAAGTTTTTAACCGACCTGGGTATGCAGATGACGTGGCCAGGTTGAAGATTTGCTGTGTTGCCTATTATTTTGCAACTTTTATTGCCGTTTGATAACTAAATGTTCCTTCCCAATCTTGGCTCAGAAGCCTTTTGCATCATTGACTCAAAAATCGGAATATTAGTTGTACAGCAATAATGTTTCTGTTGTATGGGCAGTTGCTCTATTTGCCTGATTAGCAGCTAAAAAAAAAATTGTGCAAGGGATAGGCTCTTTATGGTCTAAATGGATCTGCTTATTCCTAACTTCTGTAATTTTATTTTTGTATGTTGTTTTATAGACTGTTTTAAAAATGTAAATTGAATCTTGGAGACTGGTTGTTAAATCCATGCATTTTAATTACTGCATTGTAATGATTTTAAAACTTGCATTGTTCAGTTATGGCTAATTGCTAAGATGCCATATTAATAAGAGAGATTTGATTGGTAAATTGCTTTCTCAGAAAGGTGTCAACACTGTCCTGTTTTGAGTGTTCCTTTTGAGCTTATTTTATAATTCCATTTTGAGATATTTTTGGAAACATTCGAATTTTTTCTTATTTCCGCGTTCTTGGGGCCCAGTTCTGTCCTCAGTTACAGTACAACTCATTGATGTAACTCATGATTATGGTATATAGATGATGCGCACAATTTAATGATTGTGAGTCCTTGAAAACCCGTCCTGCCTGTAGTGGGTTAGTGGTTGTCCCTCCCACTCTGGCTCAAAGAGAGGCACTTGGCCTCACCGTGGGGGTCAGCCCAGTTGCAGGCGGAATTAGCAAATCAAGGGCTGTGATCTATGGGGCTTGGGCACAGGTCCTCAGGCAGGGCAGAGCAGCCAACACCTTAGGGGGGCTCTGGCTCTCAGGCAGGGCGAAGCAGCAAACAGGTCATTCAGCCTAAGGTGGGGAGAGGATGGGGTGGGGTTGGCAACAGGGGATAGGGTCCCACCCTACTCCACTGGGTCCCAGCCAAGGGTTATGACAGTGGCGGAGGGCTCCGCCACAGGGTCAGCGGGGATTCCACCGAAACACTCTGACCGAGCACTGACAGCAAAACCAGACTAAAGTCTAGTTTCGCTGGGCTACTTCCTACCACAATCAAGGGAGGGGTTCTGGTGGCCAGGGATAGTCAGGGTAGTCGGCTGCTGGCAATCTCAGCAGCTCCTCTCCGGACTCGGTCTCTTCTGGGGGTCGGGCACTACCCAGCTCAGTCTCAGGGCCAATGGCCTACAGCAAGCAAGAGACATCGGTCTCCTTCCCTGGCTCTCGCTCAACTGAGCTGGGATCTGAAATAAGGTCATTTTTGCCATGGTGCAGATCAAATGAACAAGCCTGCCTGAAAGGCATTTCCTGATCATGTAGTTAGACAGAATAGAGGAGGATGCACTAGAATGAGGGACCCGGCAAGATATTCACATTCTGTATATAGTATAGTTTTCATTAAGGACCAAGTAGTAAAGTTATAGTTCATATTTTTTCCATTGAGTGTTTCATCCTGTAATAAATATAGTGATTTTTGTAAGTCTTTTGCATGGCTACTTAGCCTATAATTGTGATTGCTAAAGATAGTAACAGACCTATTTATTTTCCCTTACCTTGTGACTAACTATTCATAGTTATAAGGGAGAGGTAGGTTATAACTAGTATGTAATTAGGTTATTCTCTCCTAGTGCTGTTTTAACTAGTCCAGAGTAGTCTAACAGTGATCCACGCTCAAAACATGACCTGCACATCATGAAAGAGCAAAGCATACCATTTTAGCCAGGGCTTTTTCAATGCTTAGCGGTCATTCAGTAAGACAAGGTGGGAGAGAAAATAGCTTTTATTGGACTAAATATTCTGTTGGTGAGAGAGACAAGCTCTTGAGCTGACAGAGCTCTTCTTCAGGTCCTCTCACCAACAGAAGGAGGTCCAATAAAAGTTATTATCCCACCCACCTTGTCTCTCTAATATCCTGGGACTGACATGGCTACAACACTACTGCAGACCATTCAGTAAGACAGAAAAGAATCCAGTCCTACGTTAGGAAATCAGAGCATGTTCAGTGCTGGATCTAGTATCATTGCCCAGGCAAGCTGCATTCTTGCTGCTAAGCTGGGCACAGTCAGGAGCTGTACCTTGGAAAGTGGAGAAGAGTGGAAAGAAGATGTCTCATGGCTATAGAAGATGGTTGATGATGATCAGTAGTAGCCTCCTTGGCTCAGGAGCACCTACGCTTCTGTTGGTTAGCAATCAAATACAGTAATTTCAGCTGAACTCAGGCTTTAGTCTCACACAGTTGAGCAAAGTAAATTATTCAGATTTGGTTCTCTTCTTTTTGTTTCTAGCCCACTGTGACTTCACAATGGGCTCCATTTCTCAAGCAATTAATGAAATGGGCCTTGATCTTTACAATGAACTGAACAAAAAAGCTGCAGACAAAAACATCTTCTTCTCCCCTATGAGTATCTCTACTGGCCTGGTCATGGTCCTGTTGGGTGCCAGAGGTAACACTGCTACTCAGATGCAAGAGGTAAGTGTCAACAAAACACCTACATGCTTTTATATTTTACATGCTTTTTTCTGTTAAGGCAAACATAAAAAGTAATGACAAACTATGTGATAATTTTATAAAAAAGTGCATTTGCCGGGGATGATGCAGAATTAAACAAAGAAACACGGTTTTCAAAATTGCTGCATCATGATTTCTATCACCTGTCTGTAGTGTCTGACTAATGATACGATTAGGATTCAGCAGCATAGAGGCAGGACTTAAGTCACATGGTGGCATGGCAGTCTGCCAGCATTCCCTTGCCACCATCTTGGGCTCCATTTTAAAAATAATGTTTCTAGTAGTTATGCTTGTCAAGAAATCCTTGAAACTGGAAATATAACCTGTGCAGAGATGTCTGCAGAAAGCCTGGAGCAATTGTTCTGAGAGGTGTGAACTGTCCTGTTCATTTTAGTGAGGTGTTAGCTCAGCTGCGCAAAGTTGACATTTTGGGGTCTAATTTTCTGAAGTGCTGAGCCCCACAGCTCCTTTTGAAGTCAAAGGGAGCTGCAGAAGGTCTACTTCTCTGAAAATCAGGCCCTTGAATATAAACCTTATGTTTTTCACTGCTCATCAGAAAGTCAATTTAGTTTGCCACTGCCTCTTTATTTTGAACACTGCGTACGACTCATCCTCTCAGAATGTCCTTCAAGCTTCCTGTCTACTAGCAAAGTTGTAAGAGCTGGTCAGAAATCAGGATTTTTTTTTCCTCCATCAAAAAAGTTTTCCTTTTCATCCAAAAACCAAAATGTTTTGGCCAAAAGCTGCTGAAAAAACAAAAACATTTGAAAGACTGGACAAAAGGCTGGACAAGATCAATGTTTCTCAACCTTTTTGATACCAGGGATCAGCTTGCTGCCTTCCTAAACTGTGTTACGGAGATTTCAAGAACTGGTGCTGGTCCATGGATAGGTTGTTGAGAAACACTGGACTAGATGACCTCTTGAGGTCCCGTCCAGCCCTACATTTCTATGATTGGTATTCTTAGGTTACCATGTGCAGAACCTGAATGCTGCACAAACACTTTCTCAGGGCAGATTTTGCTCCCTTTTCACCCACCCAATGGCCTTGACAGCTATACTGAATATGCTTATGTTAAAACCGGGATGGAGTTCCTATCTTCCCCCGAAAGGGGCTAATACCTCTTCTTCTTTCTGAATTCAAGTGTCAATCTCAAATTGAGATTCACACTTTGAACATTTTCAAAATGAAAATGTTGTTTTCCTGTTCAAAACGACTAATTTAGAAACAATCTACTTATAGTTAAAAAATGTAAAGTAGAAATTGAAGTGTTTCAAAATCATCAGAACACAATGTTTTGATTGACCCAAAATGATTTTTTTTTTTTTGCTTGTCGGTTCAAAAATTTTAGATTTAGACATTTTATCCCAATTTGGGACTGGAAAACTTCTCAAAAATCTCAAATATTTTGTCAAGTCAGGAAAACTGTTTCCTGCTCAGCTGTAATTAGTATCTAGTGTAACAAACATCTTAAGATAAGAAAAAGCCTTTCTGTGGAATGCATTTATGCCACTTACAGCTGCAGTAATATTACAATTTCAACCACAGGTTCTTCATTTGAATAGAGCTGCAGGAAGTGCAAATCTCGGAACTAGGCCTGTCTCTGAAAGTGGGACAACAGAAGCTGAGCCAGAATATCTCAATGAAGGGCAATATCATCAACTTCCTCAATTCCCAAAGGTACCTCTTCTGAACAAGATAGAGTAGTGTTTTCATAGCTGTAAGGGGAGCTGCAGGCTGTATAATGGCCAGTGACAGCCATTAGAGGAGTCATGATCACAGTCAGGAGGCCACTCTAGTATACTAGAAAATACTTGATCTGGAGGTCATGATTGATTGATTGATTAAGGGCCCAATCCTGGAGAAATCAATGGACACACACTCTATACTAAAAGCCAGGGGAGCAATTCCCCGGCTTGTGTACAATTACTCATGCTAGCTCTCAGTGGAGCTAGCGTGAGTATAACTAGCAGTGTAGCCGCAGTAGTAGGGGTAGGGGCAGTGGAGGCACTGCTGAGCCATGCTGAGTACATGCCCACCAGTTTCAGGCAGGCTTGTACTTGTTGCTGCTAGCTGTGCTACCATGGTTATGCTGCTATTTATATTCATGCTACCTCACACCGATAGAGATACGCAAACACCCGTATAATGTAACTATCAGTCCTGTTTTTTAACTTTTATACAAATTTAACAAAGAGAAAATGAAGCGTCTTTATTTCTACCTTGTTTGAAGCCTTCTCCTTCACGATGTGACTTGGTTGGAGGAATCCACACAGAATTCCAGACACTCCTTTCCCAACTGAAAAATCTCAACAAGAGCTGTGTACTGAGTCTGGCCAACAGTCTGTTTGCACAAAAAGGGTATAATTTTCACCAGGTAAGTTACGGGTCTTTGTTACATGTGACAATTGAGTCAAAGCTCACCTTTATACCAGAGATTCAGGGTTGCCAACTCAACAAGACTTTTTGGTGGGAGTTGGCTGCCTAACCCCTCTTTGTGGCCTTGGGAAATCTTCCTTCATGGTCAGGAGACTTTTCTCTTTGTTCAACTACATGTTAGTGGGCTGAATGCACCAGATGCTCAACGTAAGTAATAACAGTAACTTTCTATGTCTTATCTAATCCTTATTTTTACACTTATTGTAGGTAAGTAATTCTCCATGAAAAATCACCAATGTAATAAGGGTCCAGTTCATGATTGTACTATAAGGCAATTAGCTCTGTCCAAACGCTCAATGAATAAACTTCTAGTCCTTGATGTCAGTGCCAAACTTTAGTTTCCCCATCAAATTCAGTCCTGAACAAATTGTAAAAAAGCATGGCTTTTTTTCTAATTGGCTTGAGTCACCCAGTTTCTTATGGAGGATCTGATTTATGGATTCTAACATTAATTAATGATCTTTATTTTACTGTACAGCAATATTTAGAATGCACTAAGGAATTATATGGAGCAATACTGCAAACAGTTGATTTTAAAAGTGCTACAGAAGCAGCCAGACAGACGATAAATTCCTGGGTTGAAAGCAAGACACAAGGTAAGAAAGCACAGGTCCGATTGTCATTGGCTTTTCTCACTGTTTCAACATAAAAGAGCCAGGATTTGAAAGCAAAAGGTTTTCCACCTCATATGTATGTGTGTGTGTAAGTCCTCGTCTAAAATATTTTTAATTTAAAAATGAATTTGCTATCACATTCTCATTTTTATAACATTGCCGTCCTATCCTGATTGATGGCAAGAATATGGGTCCACAGTGCTGGGGCAACAAATGGGGGCAACAGAAGTTGTGGGCATAGCTGTGAGGTGGAGCAAAGCCAGGGCACAGGAGAAGACAGATCAAGAGTCTGATCGTGTGGGAAGCAGAGCCTACAGAGCAATGCCCAGGGCATGGATGATGTCTTAACTGCCAGGGAAGGTCACATCATGAGTAACTTACATTTTCCGTTGCCATATCCTTTAAGAACCCAAACATGAGTAATGATCTCTTGCACACTGGCTTGAACAAAATATATGGCACATTCCCTTTACCTAGGTTGCAATCTCACCTAGCCAAAGATAATCAAGCTTTGAAATTTCAAGCTGAATGTGGACAGAATGGCTCAGGGGACTGGTTTTGAATGGTGGATCTTTTTCTCTAAGTCATAGATTTGTCTTTGTCTCTCTAAAGAAGTCAGTTGTGAATAAGAAGTTATCAGCTGATGACTGTCCAATGACCCATGTGGAAAGAGTTGTTGTTTTGTCAGGTTCCTAGTATCAGAACGTGAGGTCCACATTTCAAAAGCAGCCTCACAATGCTGGAAATGCATGCTTGTACAGAGAACCAGCCCAAGGGCTGTGCACTAGTTAACTACAACTTCAGGCCTCAGAATGGAAGTAAAAAACTACACAGATTATTACCAATCCCTGGAGCCATTCTGTCCATATTTGAGTAAAAAAATGCAACTGAAATGGTGCTGGCCCCCTGCACAGGGGTGAATGTCTATACCCTCGTTGAATGTGATGGGTTTAGTGAACTATCTACTTAATTCTTCTAAATCAGGGCTGAGTCATATTAGTAGCAGTGCCTAGAGAAGCTTACAATGCAGCCGGCTATTTCATCCCTGTTCTGTGGATAAACAGAAAGATTTAATTTGCAGAGCCAAGCACTAGATGTTCCCCATGTTAAATTAACCTTGCAAATAAATAAATATTGATATATGAACATTCAGTTAGATCCATCTGTCTCTAATAATAATTTACATGTAGCTTGTTTTTCTCTGACTGTTTTAAGATAAAATCAGGGAACTCTTTGTTCGTGGTGTTATTGACACAACCGCTGTGCTGGTGCTAGTGAATGCAATCTACTTCAAAGCAACCTGGGAATACAAGTTTGAAGAAAAACACACAATGCCAAGAGACTTTAGGATAAACCAGGTACTATAGCAGAATTCTATATTTTTAGCTTTGTTTTATCTTAGACACCTTCAACAAAGTCACTCTGGGGCACAACTTAGGTATGCACCTATAGACATTGACATCCTATCAACCTTACAAGCAAAATCTGGGTATATATTAAGCATAACTTGACTCTTCTACTGTATGAAAGATGTCAGGGCTGTTTTTCAGTAGAGGCCAATGATCTCAAAGTGAATGAAGAAAACAACAGCAAAACTGTAGCAAGATTAGATGCTTAGTACGCTACATATTTGGAACATGGTATAAATACCAGGATACAGATTTCTTTATTTTTAACTACAGCAGCACTTCCCTTAGGCCATGATCCTGGAAAGACTTACACATGTAAGTAATTTCAGCATAGGTCTGTTGACTCATGTGACTGAAGTTGAGCACATGCAGAAAATTTGAGCTTCAACTTCAGAATCTTAAGCCCAGTCCTGCAGGTGCTAGTAATACCAGATAAGTGTCAGAAAACTAGGGAAGGAAGGTCGGGGTTTAGACATGAATTTGTTTATGGTACTAGTGATGCCACACACATCTGTCAGACAAACGAGAAAGTCTGAAGTTCAGATTTCTCACAATCTTAAGGCAATTGTGTCAGATTTTATTAAGTGTTCATTATACTTTAACAAAAAGCGTAAGTTTGGGGAATTTAAAAATGAAATTGCAACAAAATGTCTATTATACTTCACATTCAAAGGCAAACAGCAAAGGAAAAACAAAAACAAAAAAACAGGTTTGTGTTTGCTTTTTTTATCATGTCCAAAAAAATGTCACTTTTTTTCTTTGTTTGCCATAGGATTTCAGGGAATGTCAAAGCTGGCTTTCCCTGTTTAGCTGAGGTCTTAGAGGCCTCAGGTGCCAGTTCAAAAGAGGTGGGACATGTTGAATCTTTACAAAAATATTTTTCCAGCATTTGAGTCCAACTGATGTTATCAGAAATAAACAGTCATTTCTCTCACTTAATCCAATTTTGCTTGCTTGCTATCTATTGTGCCAGCATCTTACCAGTTCTCATCCATGAGTTCTTTCAGGAAAAACTAAATAGATAAGATGAGACCTGAATTTCTACAGTAATAAAACATGCAGATTTTTGTTGAGAGTCCCGTTCTTCACTCATTAAAAACAAAAAAGGTCAGCAACCTATATTCCCACCCTCCCCTTTGCAGCGTTAAGAGACTAGCAAGATGGTGTTGCTACAATATCTAATGGGTTCATTTATATCTGAAGCTTTTACTATTTTCTTCAGAATATGGAAAAAAAAGTCTGTTCTATAGCTGAGAACAGTCAGTGTGTTTGTGAGCACCATATCACATACAAATCTCAGCTACACCTTTTTACTTAAATACAGATTAGCAGGGAGGGGAATTTTATTGAACAGTAGAAGAGGGTGTCACCTTAAAGATTCCTCTCTGAGCAAATTGGTTACACCTAAAATAAGACTTGAGCAACAACCTAAACAAAGATATAAAAAAGGATGAGACGCCCATTAAAGATGGTAACTTCTAGAAGATGAATGATATGAATGAATGACTGCCAGAAAACCTAGATATGATTGTATTCCGGACATGGGTGTTGGTTGCTGAACTGCTACATCATACAGAAGTCCACAGAGATGGGGAGAAATTGTGAAAGTGAATTCCCAACAAATGTTGGGAAACAAAAGTCAGCAAGGTATTGAAATCCCATTTGTTAAAATGAGCAACTCTATTTGCATAAGCAGTGAACTTCAGAGGGGGTTAGCAGTTAAAGCCATATCTTCTTCACACAGGGGGAAGAGGAATAATAAATAATTGTTATTAAGCTCTCTCTTTGTACAGGGCAAGGTACAAACAAATGGGGGAGCTTCCTGAGTTGAAGTGCTCATGATTCTAGGAGAAACTATGGTTTGGTTGCATGGTTCATAAAAACAGGGAGGCTACACTTGTATGGCTTGTCAGACATCAGCATTTTTTTCCAACCCAAGTTGTCCCAAATCTCTTCCTATGTGGACCCTCTGAAGAAGCTGTGTCACAGGCAGAACAGGGATGGGGGAAGTCTCCCTTCCAAAAAGCTTCTATTATACGGCTTTCAGCAACATTGCAATTCTCCTTTACCTAACAGTGCCATAGAGATGTCATTTAAATGACTGGTTAGCAATGATTTTCACCTCTCCTGTGTTTTATTCATGCCAAGTAGTTCCAATGACATAAAATGTTTGAAAGATAACAGGAAGGTGAACTGAACCAGTTGGGGTGTATGTATTTTCCTTGATCTTGCCACTTAAGTACTGATCACATGTATGCTGGTTTTATACCAGCATAACTCCAATAGACCTGATTCTCCTCCCACTTACATCAGTTTTAACTGACTTCAACAATTACACCAGTGTAAGAAAGAACAGAATCAGGCTCACTGACCCCAATAGAGTGTCTCTTGATTTACACCAATAAGAGAAGGATTGTGTTCATAATCCCTAGGTAAAAGCACCCCAGTGATTTTGAAGCTTATGTTCTGTTGTGATGATCATGCCTGAAATTTACCCCAATTGTAAGCTCAATTGTAAAGAGTATGAGAAAGTTCATAAGATGTCGCAATACCTTATAACTTTTTGCCTGCTAGGAAATTAACCATGGAAAATAGGTCAAATTGTTTTCAACAATGAATGTTATGAACACATGCAAGAGAACCAGACAGAGAAACTGGATTAGTCCAGACAAAAAGGCCTGCTGATATGGTTCAAAGACTGTTGAAATCATGCTTGGTAAAAAATAGATGACGTGGAGCCAGAAGTTAATGAAGCAGAATTGGCATGGTGGATATTAGGCCTAATTGCTGGACAAAAAATGAGGGGATAAACTATGCTGCCCACTTTTCCCTTTTTTGTGGTTCTTAAAAGGAGACTTTTTGGAAAAAAATATCATCTCCCTTCCTACCTTGCATCCCACCTTGTCTCATCTCATCTCCCTTGACACAAAGAAAGAAGGAACAGACCAGCTTGAAAGATTTTCATCCCAAGAGGAAGACCAGTAGACCCTGATCTTGTTCTGGGAACTTTGTTTTTTGCTTGTGTCCAATGACCTCGAGTCCTCAGCCCATCGGTGGGGATACTTAGTTGCCAGCACCACAGAGGCACATAAGATCCTCTTCTGCCTCTTTTCCTTGTGTGTTATTTTCTGCCTTGCTTCCTTCCTTTCTCTCACGCTCTCGGCTTTTCATCAAATTCTGAAATCTCCAGGTGCTGATGCAGTGCAGTTGATGACATGACCACAATCCTGCCCTGTTGAAAAGGCCCAATCAGACAATGTCCCTGACTGGAATGTGACTCAGAGTCCAAGCAACAGGTGTCATGCTCAACTTGCCAGCCAAAGCATCTATTTGTAACTGAACAGCCATCCAGTGCTCCAAAAACATCAACAAAAGCTGTATTTCCTCCCACAGGCGCCAACTCCATGGGTGCTCTGGGGCTGGAGCACCCATGGAAACAAAATAGTGGGTGCTCAGCACCCACCAGCCACTCGCTGATCAGCTGTTTGGTGGCGGGCAGGAGATGCTGGGGGGGTAGAGGGGGCGGAGCTGGGGTGGGAAGAGGTGGACCAAGGGTGGGGGCTTGGGGGAAGGGACAGAGTGGGATGGGGCCTCAGGGGAGAGCGAGGGTGGAGCACCCACCCGGAAAGAAGAAAATAAGAGCCTGTTTCCCCCCACCATTTCCATCCTGTTTCTCCTCCACCTTGTGTGTTTGTTAAAAAAAAAAAAAAAAAAAAAAAAAAAGTGAATAACCTTCACACATTGGGACGGAGAGTAAAATTAACCCTTTCTTTTTCTTCAGAGAATGGTTGCTGAAACATGGGAGACTGATATTTCGCCTCCTGCAAAACAAAACAAACTTTAATAGGTTTTAATTAAATTTGTTTTGCATAATCACTCAATTCCAGTTTCACTATAAATGCTTGTTTTAATGTCGCATTCCTTCTTGTGTTTAATCAATAAACTTTAAAATGAATGTTTTTGGGTGATCGTTGAGGAACAGAGTAAATCCAAGGCATCTGCAGAAAATGACGTATCACTGTTGGACAGTGAAAGAGTTAATAAACATTTCTCACTTTCAGTCCTTGATATCAATTCAAGCCTAAGTCACCTAGCAGCTTTTGAACATTTTACCCTAAGTTAACATTGCCAGATCAATGGTCTATGATCTATGTTAGGTCCAACTTCTTCTCTCCATTACACCACTTTAAATCTGGAGTAATTCCACTTGTAATTGACTTCAGTGGAATTACATCAATGCACTGAAAGCAGAATTTGGCCTTTGTACTGGAACTCAGCTGCCTGATTTTTTGTGAGTTGACTCTCACACCAGATCAGTACTGACTTCAGTAGAGGCTATCCTGATTTACATCAGTGTTTGAGATCCACATCAGGCCCCAGATCTTTAGGTGTGAAAGTCCCTGGTATTAATCTACTACATTCCCTTGTTTTGTTCAGTTTTCAGCACCTTGTTTTTCAAATGATAATCCCATTTTAAACACTAGCTTGAGCAATACTCTGATATGCCTTGATTTATAGTTTCTCATTTACTAATATAAATGACTTATAAAATATTTATCCTATTTGCAATCAGTGTTCCTGTGAACACTTCACATTGTCTTTTGTTCAAATGCAGGAGGGCACTGTCAGTTGTATTTATGTATCATTTTCTTTTAAATAGAATGAGAGCAAATCTGTGCAGATGATGTACAAGAAAGACAGATTTAAAATTGCCCACATACAGGAGATTAATGCTCAAATTCTTATGATCCCATATGCTGGAAAATCACTGAATATGATCATACTGCTACCCAATGACACCACTGGTCTGGAACAGGTAAAGACATTATACCACTGAATATCTGTGAAGTAGCCCGAACTTTGGCTCTCCTTTTTATCTGAATTAAACTTGGATAAAGATCTGAAATTTTCAGAACTTCTCAGTTCCTTTGTCATTTATCTTGGTCTCTCTTTTGGACTCTATAGGTTGAAAGGGCAATGACTTATGAGAAATTAACACGCTGGACTTCCTTGGAAAGTATGAGAGATAGAGAAGTGAAGGTGTATTTGCCCCGGTTCAAACTTCAAGACAGCTTTAAGCTCAACTTACCTTTACAAGAGATGGGGATGATTGATGTCTTTAAGGAATCAAACGCTGATCTCTCTGGAATGGCTCCCTCACAGAAGCTGTTTCTGTCAGAGGTTGTCCACAAGGCCTATGTGGAAGTTAATGAGGAAGGCACTTTGGCAGCAGTTGCTACAGGAAGTGTTGCTAGCAATTCCTATATATCTGCTGATCTGTTTAAGGCTGACCATCCTTTCCTTTTCTTTATCCAGCACAATCCCACCAATACCATACTCTTCCTTGGAAAACTCTGCTCTCCTTGAAATCAAGGCAATTTTCTACCTCAGCAAGCACAGACAGATTATACTATATTCTTCTACCCTGAAATACTAGGACAGGTTTATTTTCTTAGTGCTTTTATAATCCTTTGAAATAACAAGCTAGGAATTTTGGTGATAGCTTTTTAGACCCTTTCCATAGAGAGGAGAGAATTAGGGTCCATATCAGGGGCACAGGCCACTCCCACAAAGCAGAATCCCTTTCACTAACATAGGTCAGCGGTTCAGACTGAGCTCAGACTCAAGAAGCACTTGGCATAGCACCTTCATGCTTCTGATCAGTGTAGTTATAATGGAGTCTGACTCTGTTACTATACTTTTAACCAACCTACATACTACCCAATTGCAGCTCATTTGCCATCTTTGAATTAGATCTTTAACATCGTCAGCCCGACTCTTGGTCCCAACTAAGAACACTCAATTGCAAAGCAGCCACACAGTTGCTCTGAAAGCATAGCCAAGGATTCCTGTTGGTAGGTATCTGGTCCTATGTCACCTTCTCCCTCTCTCGTCCACATAGGGTACGTCTACACAGCAATTAAACACTCAAGTCTGGCCCGAATCAGCTGACTGAGGTTCACGGGACTCTAAAACTGCTGTGTAGATTTTTAGGCTTGGGCTGGAGCCCAAGCTCTGGGACCCCATGAGGGGGGAAGAGTCCCTGAGCCTAAATGTCTACACAGCAAATTTTAGCCCCACAGCCTGAGCCCAAGTCAGCTGTATGTATACATCTCCCTAGAGAACATGGTGGGGTTAGAGAAAGGAAAAGTGACTAGTGCTCCACTGATCCTGGTCCCTGTGTCATGGTTGTTACTGCAGCCACTCCAAATTAGAACAGTGATTAGGATGCATTAAATCATCATAGGGGCTGTTTGGGGCCCTGGCCAGCCCAGTATCAGGAGTAGAAAAATGACAGAGAAGCGTCACATTTCTCCCTACCCCACTTTCTGCAGCTGTGTGCTAAGTCTGAACTTGACTCAGATGAGAGTTCAATCCTGTCAATTCTCTTTTCTCATTCATGTTCAAATCAGAAATATTTCCCTACAGCAAATAACCATGTATGTGCCGATAAATGCATCGCCTTCCCTGTGATAATGGATGCTTGATTTGTCTTTGTGCTATTTTACACTATATTAAAAATCAATTGCACATAAAGCCCCCCCCCCCTTTTTTTTTGGACATAAACCCACAACTTTTCAGTTTTTACAAAGGTTTACAGAGGAGAGTGATGCAGTGTGACTTGGGTGTCTTATCTACAGGATATCTGAATTTTGTCACATAGCTGGAGTATTGTTGTATTATAGCAGCACATAGGCCCTATGTCACAACTGCAGCTCCTATCACAGGGCAGCTCAGTGGCTACCCAGAGTGCCACACTGCCTGCCCAGTTCATCTGGTCTCACAATCACAGGCACACACTAGGCTGTTACCCTTTCATCACTTATATATTTATTATTTCCTTAAAAAGTCTAACAGTGTACGGCAGGCTTACCGCAAGAGAAAGCTTCCATGCAGCCATTACGCCTCACGCCAAACTCACCTTCTGAACTTAGAATCATAGGGTTAGAAGTGACTGAAAGGGTTAAAAGGGTCAAGCTTCCGCTTCCTGTTCCTCCCACTTATAGCCTTTCAGTTACTGAGCCCGTTGCCCCATTAGTCCAGCAATGGCCATCCCAGTGTCAGCAATCCCCAGCAGAAATCAATTAATTGGCTTCAATTAAGCCTGTTCTCTTCCCAGGGCTGCAGCAACCTCCGTGACCAGGGTGCTACTAACAGTGCCCTGTCACAGAGCCCTATCTGTACACATTATAGAAGATAAGTTCTTCAGGGCAGGAATTGCAAGACAAACACAGGGTGAAAGAATGGAAGTGTCATCTCTGCTCTACCCATGGGGAACAGAGACAGAGATTAAAGTGATTTGCCCAAGAATATACAGGAAATTTAACCCAGATCACCTGTATTCCAGTCCCATATCATAATCCCCAAACCATCCTTCCAGGGGTATGTTTATTGCCAGAGACATGAAAGTCAAAAGTCCAGAAAGGAGGCCAGGAAAAAAAATAGAGGAAATAGTCCACTACGTCATGATTAACAAGCACTTAGTATACTGTATCTAAGGAGCATTTGTCATTCTAAGTCCATGCCAAACTGTTTCTCTATGTTTCACTCTGTATAAGAGCCACCCCACAATGCTTGTTACCATTATCACATTCATGTGCACTATTGCCAGTCAACTTTGAAGGAAAATGAAAATCACTCGTCGTGGTTTTGATTTGATATTGTCTCTTGCATTCACAGAGACAGTAGTAAAACAGGCAGGTATGAACTGGGAGAAGATCACTAATGATGGAAGTTATACATCAGTTAAAAAGTCATTGGCCAGATATTCATGTAGATTGGAATCCATTAAAATCCTAGACCCAAATTCTCTAGTCATTAGGCAACTTCCAGGGACCTCAGCTAGAGAAAAATCTTTATAAAAGGCTGCCAGGATTTGGCCTAGAAAGGAGTGAAATTGGTACATTTCAATGGAATTTCATCTTACCTATTGTTCTTGACCCAATATTCACTCCCATCAATGGGAGTCTTTCCATGAGTGCTAGATTGGGCCTATAAAAAAAAGCTTCAATATTTACAGTGAAGTTTCACTCTGCAATGGTAATTCTTTGGAAGGCAACAATTATCAACTAACAGATATGAATTAAGTGCACCGTGCCACTGCTTAATATTTATTATTAGGCATCTAATCTATCTGTGCAGAGTGTTGACAGTATATTGTTAGTGGTTTATCCAGCCCAACTTTAAATGCTCAGGCAATAAAGTGCCCAGTCTTTGCTGAGCAACAAAGCCAGTAGCAATGCTGTTGTTATAGATGGAAGCATCTGAAAAACCCTCAGACTTTAATGCAAGACCTAATGCCCCTTGTCTTAGCCAATCTTCTTTTGAGCACCTCCAGGGACAGCTCCTCAGCCACTATCCATGCTCTAGCCCAATTACCTCTGCAAATAAGCGTTTCCCTTTACCTGGCCTGAGTTACTTTGAAGACATTATTCCTTTTCTCACAACTTCAGATAACGGGAAGAGAGGACTTGTGTTCCCTTTTCATCTTTCTGTGATAGTCAATGGCAGAGACCCCACAAACTGTAGGGAATTCAGAAAATTATGGTTAAAAATGCATGTAACAGAGGCATTGCAACAAAATGGCGTGGATTAACATTAGACTGACTTAATTCATTTATTTGCACTAATAAAGAGAAGCATTTAGTAGTCTCCCAGGACCTGTAAAGCTACCAGCAGTGCTGCAAATATGCAGTGGGTGAGAGCCCCTTGCACTCTGTCCAATTCACAGGCCTCATTTAACAAGACTGTGGGTGGGAGCTGGCTTGTAGACTGTAGTTCTGGCATAAAGTACACTCTGGTCTTTATGGAAGTTCCTTGGAGCGAGCTGCCGTGAGTTGCAGTTTTGTTCTCTACCAGATCAAAAAACCTGTAAGTAGACCAAAAAACCCCTGCAAGTTTTGATGTGTACAGTTACAGTAGAAAGTAGAACTGGTGAAATCATTTGTTATACAAAAAAGCAATATTGAAGGGACATTCAGGTTGCAAAGTCAAACATTCAGAAGCTAGGAAATGCTCAACTTAAAGTTGCCTCTGAAACCTTAATTTGGCCCCTTTGTGGCTATGAAACAGTCTTTAATTACCTCATACTAATACTCATACTAATACTATGTTTCCAGAAGACTGTCATTCAGGGCACATGGTGGATAGTGCTGGGGCTGAATCCAGGTTGTGGAGTGAATCGCACCGGGATCAGGATCTTCGATGGCCCATCCTTCCGGGCTCATCAGTCCGCCATCAGGACCTGCCCATAATTACAGTCCATGTAGGGGCACTCTCTACTGAAGTCCCCTGTTTGTCCGCACTGGTAGCATCTGTCTAAATTCCCCTCCGTGGGTAGGGTGCCTTGCGGTTGGCTCGATTCGCCCGACGATTCCTCCTGGCCTCAGGACAGGCGTGCCCCTGAGGGGCCCCGGGTCTTGACAGTCGTCGGGGACCCCGTCTGTCTGGCGAGCGAGTGGGGGCTCCCCCCGCCGGTCTTACGCACTGCTCCCTCTGGGGGTCGGTCTCCCCCTACTGAACTCCTTGTCTTAAGACCCGCTTGCTCCTCCGGCTCAGCCACCATGTAGTCTTCAGCCAATACTGTTGAATTGCGTCCACACTACCCCGAATTCGACCCGGCAAGGCCGATTTCAGCGCTAATCCCCTTGTCAGAGGTGGAGTAAAGAAATCGATTTAAAGAGCCCTTTAAGTTGAAAAAAAGGGCTTCGTCGTGTGGACGGGCCCAGGCTTAAATCGAAGTAACGCTGCTAAATTCGACCTAAAATCATAGTGTAGACCAGGCCTTAGCGTGCCCCTGGGGCAGTGTGGCCCAATGGCCAGAGTCCCGCTAAGTCCTTCCTCTAGTGGGATAGCGTGGCCTAGTGGCCAGAGTCACTTCAGCCCCCTTAGTCAGTAGGGTAGGGTGACCTGGAGGTCTGAGCCTGGCGGTCATCCCATGAGGATGGCAACCCCCGGTAGGGGGGCCCGGGCCCACCCAACTCCACCGGGCCCCAACCCATGGCCCTAACAGCAGGTAGCACTGCCCTCCACGAGTCAGCGGGGAATCCCACCGAAACAGGCTGCCCTCATAGGGGTGGGAGGTACCACTCCTTCACCCCCCCCCCGGGTCACTTCCTACCAGCTCTCCTGCTGCAGCAGTCCATGTGATATCAGGGTCTCTAGGCTCCTCAGCACCATGCACTTCCTGGGATTCTGGCAGCGGCTGGCCTCTGGTCCTGGTTTTGGGCTCTTCAGTTCTCGCAGGTAAAGGCTGCAATGGCTCCTGGGCGGGAGCCTCTGCTGGGTGTCCTTCCTCCTCGGCAGTCAGCCCTGACTGAACAGCTCTGTCAGCTTTTATACCTGAGCATGCCCAGCAGCGCCTCAGG